TCAGAATGGATATTGGTCTGTAGTTTTCCTTTTTCATAATACTTTTGGTTTTCTTATCAGGGCAATATTGGCCTCATAAAATGAATTGAGAAGTGTTTCCTCCATTCCCATACTTTGGAAAAGTTGGGGAAGAATTGGTGTTAATTATTCTCTAAACATTTGGTCAAATTCACCATTAAAGATATTTGGGCCCAGCTTTTTCTTTGTGGGAAGTTTTGTGATTACTAATTGTCTCCTTTTTGATTACATGTCTAGGTTTTCTATTTCTTCTGTAGTTTCGGTTGTTTGTGCCTAGGGGTTTTTCCATTTCTTCTAGGTTATCTATTTTTTGGGGTAATATGGTTGTTCATTATATTATTTTACTTTATTTATATGTATATATGCATATATGGTTGATAGTATTCTTTCGTTTCTTATTTTAGGAATTTGAGTGTTCTATTTTTATTACTTGGCCAGGCTAGCTAAAAGTTTATCAATTTTGTTAATCTTTTCAAAGAAAAGACCATTTATTCCCACTCTAGTCTTTATTATTTTTTTCTTTTGCTTGCTTTAATTTACTCTTATTTTTTCTAGTTTCTTAAGGTTGACCATTAAGTTATTGATTTGAGATCTTTCTTCTTTAATAAAGGTATTTAATGCTATAAATTTCCTCCTTACATGGTTTTAGCTTAATTTGATGATTTTTTTGTATGTCATACTTTCAGTTCATCTGGGAGTATTTTCTAGTTTTCTTTGTGTTTCTTCTTTGACCCATTTGTTATTTAAGACTATGTTATTCAATTTCCACATATTTGTGAATTTTCCAAATATCTTTCTGTTGATGATTTCTATTTTACCCCGTTGTGGATGGATAATGTAATTTGTATTTCTGTCTTTTAAGATTATTAAGATGTATTTTTATAAGCTCAAGTATTGTCTATCCTTGGGAATGTTTCATATGTACTTGAGAAGAATGTATATTTTTCAACTGTTATATGTATACATAACTGTATATTATATGTTACATATACAGTTACATATAACAACTGTTATATGTATATGGAACTGTATATTGTTCAACAGGATATATAAAATATCCTGTAGATGTCTGTTATGTCTAGTTCATATAGTGTTATGAAAGCCTTTTATATCCTTGTTCATCTGCCTACCTGTTCTATCCATTATTGAAAATGGAGTATTGAAGTATGTAAACATTCTTGTTGAATTTGTTCATTTCTTCGTTTTTATCCCTGCATTTCTTAATGGATTGACCCTTTATCATTTAAAATATCTTTCTTGTTCTCTAATAATTTTTGTCTTAATGTCTAGTTTGTCTGATACTGGTATAGCAACTCCAGCTCTCCTTTGGTTACTGTTTGCATGGTATTTTTTCACTCTGTTACTTACAACCTCTTATGTCTTTGAATCTAAAGCATGTCTCTTATAAATTACATATAGTTGGATCATGATTTCTAATTTGTTCTGCTAATCTTTGCCTTTCATTTTAGTCTTTAATATATTTACATTTAATATAATTATCAATAAAGTAGAATTTATGTCTGCTATTTTGCTATATGTTTTCTATGTGTCTTATTTCCTTTTTGTTCCTCTACCTCCCCATGACTGCTTGAGTTTTATTGTAAAGATATGTTCAAGTATACCATTTTAATTTCCTCATCATTTATTTACTATATATATTTTAGTTATTTTCTTAATTGTTCTACTGGGGATTACAATTATTTTAATTTTAACAGTATAACTTAGATTAATACCAACTTAATTTCTTTTTTAAAATTTCCTTTGTTTTTTAAAGATTTTTTTTATTTATTTACTTTCAGAGAGTGGGGAAGGGGGGGGAAGGGAGGGGGAAAAGAGGGAGAGAAACATCAATGCCTCCCACACAATGCCAATTGGGGACCTGGCCCACAACCCATGCATGTGCCCTGACCAGGAATCAAACTTATGACCTTTTGGTTCACAGGCCAGCACTCAGTCCACTGAGCCACACCAGCCAGGGCTAAAATTTCTTTTTCAATTTAATTTCAATACTGCACAAAACACTGCTTTTTCAAAATTTAACCTTTATTGTATTTTTTCTATTACCATTTAACCCCCTTACAAAACTCTGCTTTTATATGGCTCCATTTTCTACCCCCTCCTTTGCACTATTAGTATCATACAAATTACATCTATACACTGTGTGCCCATCAGTACAGATTTATAATTATTGCTTTATGTTGTTGTAGGTTTGGGTTTTTTTTTAGGTTTCATTTATTTATTTTAGAGAGGGGGGATGGGAGGCAGAAAGAGAGGGAGAGAAACATCAACATGTGAGAGAAACAGCGATCGGTTGCCTCCTGTATGCACCTCAACCAGGGACCAAACCTGCAAACCAGGCAGGTGCCCTGACCAGTAATCAAACCAGAGACTTTTTGCTTTGTGGGATGACACTGAACCAACTGAGCCACACCGGTCAGGACATATGCTGTTGTGTTTTAATCAGATGAAAGAAAGGAGTTACAGAAATAGATTTATACTGTTTTTTATAGTTAACTATGTAGTTACCTTGGTTGGTGTTCTTTATTTATTTATGTGGATTTAAACAACTGCGTAGTGTCCTTTCATCTCGATCTCTAATACTGCCTTTATTATTTCTTATAGGACAGGTCTGCTAGTGATCAATTTCCTGTTTTTGATTATCTGAGATGTCTTAATTTCTCTTTCAGTTTTAAAAGATAGTATTGCTGGATATAGAATTCTTGCTTGATAGTCTTTTTCCCTATAACCACTTTAATTATGTCATTCTAATGTCTTTGGCCTTGATTGTTTTTGATGAAAAATCAGCTTTTAGTCTTATTGGGGCCCTGTGTATGTGCTTTTAAGTTTCTCTCTTTGTCTTTGTATTTTAACTGTTTGATGATTGTGTGTCTAGTTAACTTTTATGATTTTATGTTTCTTGGAGTTTGCTGAATTTTGGAATGTACAGATTAACGTTTTTCATCAAATTTGGGGGATTTTTTGGCTATTATTCTTCAAATATTTTTCTGCTTCTTTCAATCTTTCCCCTTTCTATAGGATTTCCAGTATGTAAAAGTTGGTATGTTCAGTGTTGTCTCATAGGTTTCTGAAACTCTTCATTCTTCTTCATTTTTTTTCCTTCTGTGCCTGAGACTAGGTAATTTCAGTTGACCTTCAAATTCAGTGATTATTACTTCTGCCAGTTTAGGTCTGCTCCTGAGCTCCTCCTCTGATGAATACTGTATTGTTATCCATATAGTAGAATATCTATAGTATTCTAATTTTTAGAATATCTATCTCTTTATTGACTTTCTGGATTCAGTAGGTCATTATTCTCATACTTAGCTTTAATTCTTCTTTTATTTTACTTTTAAATCATTTTTTATTGTTATTCTATTACAGTTATCCTAATTTCCCACCCCCCTGCCCTCCTTTGCCTGCTCCGCCCCCACCATTCCCACAGTTAATTCCTACACTGCTGTCCACATCTGTAGGTCATTCATACGTGATCTTTGTCTAATCCCTTCAATTTTCCTTAGTTCTTTGAACATAATTATAATTGCTGATTTAAAGTCTTTGTCTATTAAGTTCAATATGTGGACTTCCTTAAGGATGGTTTCTATAGATTGCTTTTTTCCCCAGTGTATGAGCCATATTTTCTTGTTTCTTTGTGTGCCTCATAACTTTTGTTGAAAACTAGACATTTAAAAAAATACAACGTGGCAACTCTGGAAATCAGATTTATTCCCCCTTTGATAGTTTCTTATTTTTTTGCTGCTTGTTTGTTTGTTTATGTTGCTGTTTGTATGTGTAGTGACATTCTTGGGCTAAATCTGTAAAGTGCATTCTTTACTATGTGCAGCTCCAGAAGTCTTTGTTCAGTTAACTTAGTGGTCAGCTAGTGAGTGTACAGAACATTTCTTAAATTCTTTAAACCAGAAAGTCTCTCATCTTTCCTGAGGGATTGTGTGTTTGGATGTTTTGTGACATGTGCTTAATGCTCCTGTAGGTGGTTTACAAGTCTGCCTTAGCCTTCACTTCATGCTTGAGAAGAGCCTCAAGGTCAGTGAGAGGTGAGGGACTGGGGCCTTTTCAGGTCTTTTCTGGGCATATATACAGCCCCGTACATGAGCATGGCCCAAGAGATACCAAGAAATATTTTGCAGCTTTTCAAATCTCCCTATGGATATCTCACCTCCTGTTTTTTATTTTTTAAGTCTTTTGGTTAGATTTTTGTTAGTCCAAACTGGTATTTGCCTTCAGTAGCTGTGGTGTTAAATACTTGCTGCTGATTGTTTTTACCAATGCCCAAGTATAGGGTTCTTCTCATAGAGCAAGCTCTGAGTCAGGGAACATAAAGACAAGGTCTGGGAATGGAGCTTTACAGGCAGCTTTCAGTTCTCTGGGGATGAGACTTTTGGGGCAGCTACAAACCTGTTGTGCTTTCACTGCCCGCAGTGGCTGCTATAGTGATGGTTTTCCCAGGTGTCATAATTATGTATCTGTTGGTGTTCAGAACTATTGTGGAGCCAGGGAGAGGGTGATGAGACTATGACAAGTTAAAGCAGCACAAAACTTATCATTTTTACTGATATTCAGAGTTCTGAAAAAGTTGAATTTGACAAGTTGTGCCAGTCTTTCCATTGCTTTTATGGAGAAAGAGATTTTCAGAAGTACTTTCTATAAAATTGTTTTAAGGGTACTTTTTAAATATGGTATGTGGAAAAGTCATAGAAAGGTAATAGTTCTTGAAATGAGGGACCTAAGGGGACTTTGAAATTACGTATTATTTATATATTTCATAATGTATTTATAAAATATATAATATATTTTAGTGCAAAGTATTGTATTATTCAAAGGCAGATATTTGGAATAAAATACAAACAAGGTTGTATCCTAAATGGGATTTTCTTTAGAAGTTTTTGCTAGAGTTTTACTGAATAGGAAAGTCAGAAGAGTTCACTGGTCTCAGTTCTCTTTTTCTCTTCTTTTTGCTCTTTTAGGTATACAGAGCCAATGGGCCAGATGGAGCCGTTGGCAGAGGCCAGAGAATCCACCTGCAGTTATGGGACACAGCAGGGCAGGAGAGGTATGAGATCTTTGGTTCTGTGCTCTTTCCTGGAGGAAAGGGAAAAACAGCTCCACTTTTCATACAGTGATTTGAACGGGAAAAGGCCAGCTGATTGATTAGTTGATTTGCACCTGGATAAGACAGGCTGCCAAATTAACAGTAAATTTATCAGTCTGAGTTGATAACAGTGGCTTTGTTTCATATAAGGTCAAAGGAAAAACGAACTCTTTTCAAAATGGACCTTTGTGAACTTTTTTTTTCTTCTTCCTTTTCAAAAAAGCTTATATACTTTTCTTCATTGACTTTTGCTACTTAGCCATAAAAAAAGCTACAGAGATAGACATATGTATTATTCTTACTAGATTGTTGAAACCTAGTGGAAAATCTTATTGGAATTAACTCATGTAGTCAGAAGTTGCTTGACCAAAATACGTCACATGAAATCTTGACGCAAAGTTGCTTTTAGTTAGCTAATCTTTCTGTTTTTCTTTTTCCCTCACAAATTCCTTGAGGATTTTGTTTAGCTGAGGTTCCTGTTTTTATTTCCTCTCACACATTCCTTGAAGGATTTTGTTTTTTGTTTTTTTTTTTTAACTTTTTATTATGGAAAACTTCATGTATATAGAGAGGATAGTACATATAATGAACTCATGTATTCATTTCCCAGTTTCAACAGTCATTAGCTTCTGGTAAATCTTATTTTATGTATATCTGTCATTTCTATTCCCTCCCAAATTATTTTTAAGCAAATTACAAATATTAGATTATTTCATTCATAACTGTTTTGATATGTATCTCTAAAAGATAAGGACTGATTTTGTAAAAACAATTATTAGAAACATTTGAGAAAACTTAAAATAGAATATTAGATGACTAATTCATACCAGTATTTTCTTCCCTGGAGCCTACGTCCATCAGTTGCAGGCTCTGCATAAAGACAAAGTAAGAGGAAAGTGTTGGAGGCAGGTAGAGGGGAGACAGCAGGGTAAAGCCTTAGAAGAGCGAGTACCAAGAAAGCATAGGGAATGAGTCATTACTACTCCCACCTTAATGCCAGAGAAATAGTACATTAGAGATAAGAGATTGCTGAAGAGATAGAAAATATAGGGACACAGAACACATTGTAATGTCAGGTCAAGCCAAGCTTTATAGAACAAGGGAAGCGTACAAAGCAAACACCACTGTTTTGGTCTAATTAACTCCTAATTGGATAATAAATTATTGGGTGAGACTAAAGGATCATAAACTAGTTCTTGTCATCCCTGTCTGGCAAGCTGGGTTTTCAAATGGCATGGTCTGTCTGTTAACACATAAACTTACGTAAGTGATAAATAACTGTCTCATATACTTTTGGAATATCATCATCTAACTTTTTAAAACTTTACTTTTATGCAGAATGTTTTTAAAAAATATTTTATTTATTTATTTTTAGAGTTGGGGGAGGGAGAAACAGGAGGAGAGAAACATTGATGTGTGAAATACGGATCAGTTGCCTTTTGCACGCCTCCACCTGGGGACCTGAACCACAACCCAGGCTTGTGCCCTGACTGGGAATTGAACTGGCAACCTTTCATCCCACAGGGTGGCACTCAATCACTGAGCCACACCAGACAGGGCAGATTGCTTTTATTTTAAAATAAAATTGCAAGTATAATTTTTGATAATTGTTGCCATTTTAAAAAATCTAGATATGTTTCAAGTATTCTTTTTTGCAACTTCTGGCCAAGATGGAGGTGTAGACAGAGACACTTTGCCTTCTCGCACAACCAAAGAAGGACAACAAATTTAAAAACAAAAAATAACCAGAACTGCCAGAAAATCCCACTGAATGGAAATCCGACAACCAAGGAGTTAAAGAAACATTCATCCAGACCAGGAGGAGGGGTGGAGATGAGCAGATGGGGTGGAGAGGATGTGCAGCAAGGTGGTGGCTGGAGGACCAGGTGGTCCCACATTTGCTTGCAGATAAACTAGAGGAACAGCTGGGGAGCGAGCGACACAGACGGCACAATCCAGGGTTCCAGTGCAGGAAAGAAAGCTTCAAAACCTCTGGAGGTAAAAACCTGTGGGGGATGCGCCAGCAGGAGAAACTCCCAGCCTCACAGGAGAGTCTGTTGGAGAGACCCACAGGGTTCTAGAATGTACAAAAACCCACCTACCCAGGAATCAGCACCAGAAGAGCCCAATTTGCTTGTGGGTAGTGGGGGAAGTGACTGAAAGCCGGTGGAGAGCTGAGCAAGCAGCATTGTTACCTCTTGGACCCCTCCCCCACAGACAGGGTCACAACTCAGTGACCTGGGTTGCCCTACCCTGGTGAATACCTAAGGCTCCGCCCCTTCCAATGTAACAGGCATGCTGAGACAGAGAAATATGGCCCAAATGAAAGAACAGATCAAAGATTCAAAAATAGAGCTAAGCAATGAACAGATAGCCAACCTATTAGATGCAGAGTTCAAAACACTGGTAGTTGGAATGTTTGCAGAAATGATTGAGTATGGTTGCAAAATAAAGAAAAAAGTGAAGCCTACACAAAATGAAATATACCGGGAGCCAATAAAGAGTGAAGGGAAGGAAACCGGGACTCAAATCAATGATTTGGAGTAGTAGGAAGAGATATACATTCAATGAGAACAGAATGAAGAAACAAGAATTTCAAAAATGAGGAGAGGCTTAGAAAACTCTGGGACAACTTTAAACGATCCAACATCCGAATCATAGGGGTGCCAGAAGGAGGAGAGGAAGAGCAAGGCATTGAAACTTATTTGAAAAAATAATGAAGGAGAACTTCCCCAAGCTGGCCAAGGAAATAGACTTTCAGGAGATCCAGGAAGCTCGGAGAGTCCCAAAGAAGTTGGACCCAAGGAAGCACACACCAAGGCACATCATAATTAAGGTACCCAAGATTAAAGATAAGGAGAGACTCTTAAAAGCAGCAAGAGAAAAGGAGACAGTTCCCTCAGAGGAGTTCCCATAAGACTAGCAGCTGATTTCTCAAAAGAAATCTTGTAGGCAAGAAGGGGCCATGAAAAGCAAGGACCTACATCCAAGATTATTCTATCCAGCAAAGCTATCATTTAGAATGGAAGGGCAGATAAATTGCTTCCCAGATAAGGTCAGGTTAAAGGAGTTCCTCATCACCAAGCCCTTATTATATGGGATATTAAAAAACTTATCTAAGAAAAAGAAGATAAAAAACTATGGACAGTAAAACAGAGGGGAAGGGGGAAGAATGGGGGAAAAATACAGGGAATAAACAGCACAAATAGTAGGTACAAAACAGACAGGCGGAGGCTAAGAATAGTATAGGAAATGGAGAAGCTGGAAGAGCTTATATGTACGATCAACGGACATGAATTAAGGCAGGGGGAGGATGGGAGGTGAGGTAGTGTAGGGTGGAGCGGAATAAAGGGAAGAAAAAAATGGAACCGTTGTAATAGTATAATCAATAGAATATATATTAAAAATTATAAAAAAGTATTCTTTCTTGCTCTAGATAAATATTTACAATATTTTGTAGGGTATCTAATATCATTGATTATGCTCATAATTTTATAGTGTTAAAATGTCATTTATAATAGCATATTTCACTGAATCTTGTGTAACTAAGAGCTATAACATGCATGTGTAATGTGAAGTTATTAGAAACAATGGCATGTTATTAAACATCTAATTTGTTATTGGTGAACTGTTATGAGAGGCTGAGGCACTGCTGGTAGCTTTATATTTCAGGAGTGGGGCTATGGTTTAGATGACCAGTCTGCTTTATGTTCCTAGGTTCCGAAGCTTGACAACAGCATTCTTCAGAGATGCTATGGGGTTTCTTCTGCTTTTTGATCTGACAAATGAGCAAAGCTTCCTCAATGTCAGAAACTGGATAAGTAAGTGTTACTGTGTCCCTGCCTCCTACTCCCTACAGTAAAATGACCCATTGTATTCTACTTTTGTTGTAAATTGTTTTGGGAGAAATACTGGTGCTGTTTGAAATGCTATTTGAAGGAGCAAGGTTATTAGTTTAGGGGCAAGATAACTGAAATGCTTTGCTTTTCCTAGTAGTATTGATTTGTTGAGTTCTTCCTCTGCTCCAGGTGTAAGGCAATGCTTTCCATGTAACCTCTTAATCAGTGTTTTCCACAGAGGGGACTCATCCCCATTTTGTAAAGGAAGATAGAGACCTAGAGAAGTTAAATCACAAGTTATCTGCTGGCCTATTGTGCATTGTCAAGTCTTGTACCATTCCAGGGTGTAAAACATATGCTACACAGATTATATATATTACATAAATATCTTTTGAAGGCTAAATGGATTAGACCCCTGGCTGTGTGTCTCTTCTGTGCTTAGAGGTTCCTTCTTTTATGGCCAGACATTTGCCAGGAGGACTCTGAAACTGCATTGGCAAAAGTAGTCCCCAATGCAATATACAGGGTCCAGCACAAATAATGCCCATTTTTATTACAAAATAATAGGCATGTACTTCTGTAACATAACAATATCACAGTCAAGTACACCATGTGACATTTTAGGTGAAATGTTCAAATTAAAACTATAAATTATTACACCCATATTATTACCCTACCAGCCACACTCAAGCAGGTGTTACTTCTGCCAGACTCTGTGTATATAAACTTTCATTTTGGCTTTTTGGAGAGATCCCCATCTGTTAAATGATTGATAGTTGCCATTTAAAATCCTGCTACTTGACCAAATAATAGCTTGCAAATGGTACATTTTCTTCTATTGGTCATATTATTATAAATGTAGAGAATTTATTGGGAAAGGCTGTGTTGTTAAAATTCTTCACATCCAAGTCTTAAAACTAAAGCACTTGAAAAATTACCTACTACTTAAAAATTACTTAGTAATTTGGTATTATTGGCTATGCTTTTGATAGTAGAAAATCCTATTTTTATTTTTTAATTTTACTTTTCTATTAGAGTTTACATTTATCAATACTATTAGTTTGTATTAGTTTCAGGTCTACAGCATAATGGTTAGATAAGGTGTTTCTCCCAATATTTCCAGTACCCGCCTGGCATCACACATAGTTATTAGATTATTATTGACCATATTCCCTATAATGTACTTTACATCCCTGTGACTATTTTGCAACTACCAATTTGTACTTCGTAATCCCTTTACCATTTTCACCCAGCACCCCCCAAACCCCTTTACCTCTGGCAACCATCAGTCTGTTCTCTGTATCTATGGGTCTCTTTCTATTTTTTTAAGTTAGTTTGCTTTTAGATTCAACATATAACTAAAATCTATGGTATTTATTTTTCCCTGTCTGACCTATTTCACTCAGCCTAATACACTCTAGGTCATCCATGCTGTCACAAATGGTAAGATTTCATTCTTTTTTGTGGCCAAGTAATATTCTATTATATATACACACACACACACACCTCATATTTTTTATCCACTCATCTATTGATGAGCAATTGGGGGTGCTTCCATACCTTGACTATTGTAAATAAGGCTGCAATGAACATAGGGGTGCATATATTCCTTTGAATTAAAGTTTTGGGTTTCGTTGGATATATTCCTACAAGTGGAATCACTGGGTCATAAGGCAGTTCCATTTTTAATTTTTTGAGGAAACTTCATGCTCTTTTCCAAGTGGCTGCACTAATCTGCATTCCCAGCAACAATGCACAAGTGTTGCCTTTTCTCCACATCCTCGCCAGCACTCGTCTGTTGATTTTTTGATGATAGCTGTTATGACAGGTGTGAGGTGATATCTCATTGTGATTTTTTCATGTCTAATTTTTATTCTGAAATGTAAAGCTCTTTCATTTAAGTACAGTTGACATACAATATTAGTTTCAGGTGTAGAATATAGTGAGATTTGACATTTATGTGCTATAAAAAGTTGACTCTCCACCTGTCCCCACTAAAAGCATTGTGATACTATTAATATTCCCTGTGTTATACATTACATCCCTCTGACTTATTTATAAGTTTGTATCTCTTAATCCCCTTAACGTTTTTGCCCATACCCCCACTGCCTATTCCTCTGGCAATGGTCAGTTTTTCTGTATCTATAGGTTAGTTTGTTTTGTTTGTTCATTTCTTCAGTTTCTTAGATTCTACACCTAAGTGAAATGAGACAGTATTTGTCTTTCTCTGACTTAATTTCACTTAGCATAATACCCTCTAGATCTATTCATGTTGTTGCAAATGGCAAGATCTATTTCTTTTCCATGGCTGAGTAATATTCCAGTGTGCATGTGCGTGTGTCCACACACATATTCACTCCTTCTTTATCCATTCATCTAGTGAAGAACACCTAGGTGGCTTCTGTAACTCGGTTGTTGTAAATAATCCTGCAGTAAACATAGAAGTGCATATATCTTTTTGAATTGTTTCATTTCCTTCAGATAAGCTTTCAGAAGTAGAATTGCTGGGTCCATCTTTGTCTCTTGTTGTGATTTTAATTTGCATTTCTCTGATGATTAGTGACACTGAGCATCTTTTCATATGTTAATTGGCCATCTATATGTCCTCTTTAGAGAAGTGTCTATTCAGGCCCTCTGCCCATTTTTTGATTGAAATGTTTGTGTTTTTGTTGTTGACTTGTATGAGTTCTTAATAAATTTAGGATATTGGATGTATCATTGGCAAATATATTTTTCAATTCAGTAGGTTGTCTTTTCATTTTGTTGATGGTTTCCTTTGCTGTGCAAAAACTTTTTAGTTTGATATAATCTGACTTGTTTAGTTTTTTCTTTTGTTTCCTTTGCCTGAGGAAATATATCAGAAAAACTATTGCTAAGGGAAATGTTTGAGATTTTACTGCCTATGTTCTCCTCTAGGGTTTTTGTGGTTTTGAGTCTTACATCTAAGTTTTTAATCCACTTTGAGTTTATTCCGATATATGGTGTAAGAAGTTGGTCTAGTTTAATTTTCTTATCTATACCTGTTCAATTTTCCAGCACCATTTATGGCATAGACCATCTTTACCCAACTGTATACTCTTGCCTCCTTTGCCAAATAATAATAGACCATATTGGTGAGGGTTTATTTCTGGGCCCTCTATTTTGTTTCATAAATCTTTGATTTATGTGTCTGTTTTTATGCCAGTGCCATGTTGTTTTGATTACTATAGTCTTTACTATAAGTTTGAGATCAGGTAGTGTGATACCTCCAATTTGTTCTTCTCTCTCAGTATTGTTGAGGCTATTTGAGGTTTTTTGTGGTTCATATATAAATTTTCCATATATAATTTTTTGAATTATTTGTTCTAGTTCTGTGAAGAGCACTATTGATATTTTGATAGCAATTTCATTGAATCTATAGGTTGCTTTGGGTAGTATGGACATTTGAATGATGTTAATTCTTCCTGTTCATGAACATGGTATATGCTTCCACTTATTTGTATCTTCTTCAATTTTTGTTTCAGTATCTTAAAATTTTCTGAGTATAGGTGTTTTACCTCCTTGATTAAATTTATTTGTAGGTATTTTATTGTTTTGATGCAGTTGTAAATGGGATTGTTTTCTTAGTTCCCTTTATGGTAGTTCATTATTGTGTATGAAAATGCAGCTGATTTCTGAATATTTATTTTGTATCTTGCTGCTTTATTTAATTCATTTATGCATTCTAGTAGTTTTTTAGTAGACTCTCTAGGACTTTCTATGTACAGCATCATATCATCTGCAAATAATGAGAGTTTTACTTTTTCCTTTCCAATTAGGATGCCTTTTGCTTCTTTTTCTTGTCTGATCGCTGTGCCTAGGACTTCCAGTACTATGTTGAATATGAACGATAAAAGTGAACGTCTGTCTTGTTCCTGATCTTAAGGGAAACACTTAGTTTTTGCCTGTTGAATATGATGTTGGCTGTGGGTTTGTCTTATATGGCCTTTATTATGTTGAGGTATGTTCCCTCTATTCCCACTTTGCTGGGAGTTTTTATTATAAATGGGTGCTGGGATTTTTTAAAGTGCTTTTTTTTGCATTTATTGACATGATCATATAATTTTTATCTTTCATTTTGTTTATATAGTGTTTCACATTAATTGATTTGTGGATATTGAACCAATTGCATCCAGGTATAAATTCCACTTCATGGTGAATGATCTTTTTAATGTATTGCTGAATTTGGTTTGCTAATGTTCTGTTGAGGATTTCTATGTTTATGATCTTCAGGAATATTGACTATAATTTTCTTTCTTTGTAGTGTCTCTCTCTGGTTTTGGAATCAGAATAATGGTAGCCTGGTAAAATGAGCTTGGGAATCTTCCCTCCTCTTGAATTGTTTGGAATAGTTTGAGAAAGATAAGTGTTAGTTTTTCTTCGAATGTTTGGTAAAATTCACTTCTGAAGCCATCCAATCAAGGACTTTTGTTTGTTGGGAGTTTTTTTGATTACTGCTTTAATTTCACTAGTTGTAATCTGTCTATTCAGATTTTCTGATTCTTCCTGATTCAGTTTTGGAAAATTGTATGTTTCTAGGAATTTATCCATTTCTTTCAGATTGTCCAATTTGTTGGCATTTAGTTGTTCTTACAGTCCTTTGTGTTTCTTTGGTGTCAATTGTTACTTCTCCTCTTTTTTTTCTGATTTTATTTATTTGGGTCCTCTCTTTTTTTTTCTTGATGACTCTGATTAAAGGTTTGTCAATCTTATTTATCTTTTCAAAGAACCAGTTCTTTGTTTCGTTGATCTTTTGTATTGCTTTTTAGACTCTTTTGTTTATTTACTCTTTTGTTCTGATATTTATTAATTCCCTTTTCTATTCACTTTGGACTTTGTTTTTTGTTCATTTTCTAGTTCTTTTCAGTGTAAAGTGAGATTGTTTACTTGAGACTTTTCTTGTTTCTTGAGGTAAGTCTGTAACACTATAAATTTCTTTCTTAGGACTGCTTTTGCTGTCTACC